GAACAGATGGAACTGCTGTGGGACCCAGCTGTCATCTTCAGGGCTGGAGATTGAACTCAGGGCCTGGGTGCTCTCCCTGAGCTTTTTTTTTTCACTCAAGGCAAGTACTCTACTACTTGAGCCACAGCTGTACTTCTAGCTTTTTGGTGCTTAACTGGAGATGGGTCTCACAGACTTTCCTGCCCAGTCTGGCTTTGAACTGTGATCCTCAAATAGCAGCCTCCTGAGTAGGTAGGATTACAGGCCTGAGCCAGCAGCAACCAGCTATCAGAGTACTTTGTTTTTTTTCAGTACTGGAGTTTAAACTCAGGGCCTTCTGCTTACTAACTAGGCAAGCACTTTATCACAGGAGCCACACCCCCAGCCTTTTTTTTTTTTTTTTTGCTTTAGTTACTCTCTACTAGCTAGAACCTCATAGTCTTCCTACCCATACCTCCCACGCGGTCCCAATGACAGATGTGTCACCACACCTGGCTTGTTTGTTAGGATGGATGCTTGCTAACTTTTTGCCTAGATGACCTCAAACCAAGCTTGATCTTCCTGAGTAGCAGGGATTACAGGTGCCCTACACCATGCCCAGATGACAGAACACTTCCTGAGCCTTGGGTATGTTTTGTTGTTGTTCTTTAAAAATACTTTTCCCTTCGCCTCCAAGGACTATGCAGCTAACGTAAGTTTCTCTACAAATATGACTGCTTAAATAAAGCACACGCTTCTACAACAGACAGAAGCCATGCTCCTGCCCTGTATCCAGACTCATTACAAGTGCAGAGGGCAAACTTCTCTTCTCTGTGGGGCTGGACAGCAGCAGCTGCGCCTGCACCTGTGGGGCTTTCAGCTTGGCCTGTGGAACTCAAGCAGGTAGGAACAACAGTTCCTAGGAACACGTGTAGACACCGGAAATGTACTGCTTTGCACTGACCCCACAAAAACACAGCTCCATATTTTCCATAATTGGGGAACTGTAGACTTACCTTATTGCATTATGGTAGAGTTTTACTCCATCCAGCACCTATTTTGTGACATGATATATGTGAAGATTATGGTAATGTGCAAAATTGATATGGTCTCAGCTCTAATGGCACTTTCTCACAGAGGAAATAGATTTAAAAAAAAAAAGCCAATAAAATAAGCTGGGATAAAGTCTGTGAAGAATCAAAGAATGGAGAGAGAAAATAATGGAGGGGGTGGGGGAGAAGAGAAATCACATTTTAGGTGGTTGGGAAGGGTTCTTCACACAGATGGCATCTGAGTTGAGACCAGGAGTCTGAGATGGAGAGAACTTGAGGGAAAACATTCCAAATGGTAAGGACAGCATGTGCCAAGGCCCTGGGGGCAGGACTGGAGAAGACTTAGTTAAAGCTGGATAGGTATAGATTCAGTAGTCCTAGAGCAATCCGGAAAAAAAAGAAACTAAGGAGGATGGAATCTCCAGAGTGAGGCTCTCGAGTAAAGTCTACGCCACAAATTCAAGTTCTCTATATGTAGCTTTAGATTATCCCAGACCAGTGGCTGTAGGGACCTGTGTCTCAGTACGGGGATGGCTCACTGTATCAGAAGCTATGGAAAACGCCTCCTGAATCCTAGAGGCAGTGTGGGCTGCAGGACCCTAACGCCTGGAATAGGTAGGTGGGCCTTAGCAACCTTTCCTGGCTTCATCTTCATTCATCCATTTATCAGTGCTAGACTGAAGGAGAAAGAGGAGAGATGGGGAGAGGGGGAAAGGGAGAGAGGAGAGGAAGCCCCTGCCCTCAGGGGCACAAAATGAAACAAAACCCTGTTCAGAACTCCGTGTTTTGATGTAGGAGTGTCTGGGGGACTGTTCTTTTGAATAGGAGCTCTGAAACGGGGTATTAGCCCCCTTCGTGTTTTTCTTCATTCTTTCCTAGTGGATTTTACTCAGTCCAGCACCTAGTTCTTGTGTCCTCTTTCCTGTTGGTGACAGTTTAAACACACACACACACACACACACGCACACACACACATGTGCGTGCGAACACACCTCCCCTGAGGAAGGCTGTAAAAGGCCCACCCACACAGGCACATCCAAGCACACATGCTTCTCTAATCTTCCTAAATCCTCCAAAACCTGAGGGTGGGGGTCACTCTCTGCTCCCCCAGTTAGCAGGAAAAAGCCAGGCTGGGGATGTGGAAGCTTTTGTCAGCCTTAGCTCCATAGCTGCACCGCACCCCCCCACCCCCCCTTCCTCTGGGCTGGTCCCTGAGTCCCAGCTGCTGGGAGGTGAATGGGTGCCGCTGGGCAAACATCCTTGCAGCTTCCTGCTGCTCCCCTCTGAGACAACAGAACTTTTCCTCTTCTTCTTCTTCCTCCTCTCTCCCCCTTCTCCCCACACTGCCCAGCTGGGGCTGCTCAAGATCCCCAACCAGTAACTTCTTGAGAAACTAGTCATCCCTTCCCCTCAGGCAGAGAATGCATAGGAGGGGGTGAGATAGAGACCTCAAGTCCATTTGACAGCCTTTACCTTCTCCTGCTCTGGCCCTTTGAGCCCAGATTCTCTCTTGTACGTTCAGCCATGGGGCTGAAAGACCACAGGGCACAGTGGATGGAGGGTTCCAGGACAGGGACGTTGGGAGCGTAGGGCTGGGCAGGGTAAGGCCTCCACAGCTGGCATGGCCGCAAATGTGGCCTCCACACAGCAGAAAGGCAAGCCCAGGGCCACCTGCACACACACCTGCTTGACTTCCTGCTCTGTCCAAGGGAGCACACCCTTCTTTCGGAGCTACAGTCAAAGGAACTTTTGCATTTTAAGTTTTGTTTTTAGCACAGCAAGGCACACAGTCTTCCCACAGGACTTTATGGCCTGCGTGGGGATGTTTTAGGAAGCATTGTGAATATGTAACTCTCCATCCTCCACACCCACCCCTTCCCTTCTTTATTCCATGATGTATCCCCAATGGAAGGGACCTTACACACATGGAAATGGAAAGCCCAGAGAAGGAATGTCACTTGCTTAAGGTAACATAGCAATTCCTGGCTGATGATTGGTTCTCACTGCCAGCCCATCCAGAGTCTGAGACAAGTCAGTCAGCTACGGTGTCTTATAAACCAGGACTCATGTTACAGTCATCTCCACATTTCTCAGTTTTCCCATGGAATCTCCAGAACAATGCTATAGGTGAAGGCCCTGATGCCCCCCACTTTTCCCTCAAGGAAACCAAAGCCTGGAGAAGAAATCAGTTGTTCTAAATTACTACTTGGTTGGTGGCATAAGTATAGACAGAAGTTTTATATGTCCCACTTCCCAGCCCAGGAGATCTTTCTGTCTCCTTAGATACTCTTTCCTGTCCCCCAAACAGAGCCCCTTGTCCAGAGAGCAGCATACCCCAGTAGAGCTTTCCCTCCCCCCTGTGGCCCAGTGCTGTACACCACTGCTGATCAGGACTTCTTTCCTGCCCTGGACCAAGGCCCAGAGGAGCAGCTGGGGATGCGGTGCAAGCAGAAGAGTTCATTCAGAAGAAAGCTCAGCTCAGGGCTGCCAGAGGCTGAGGGAAGGCACGGTGATCAGAATCCTCTACCAGCTCTAAGAAGGGAGTGTGGTTACTTTATTCCTAGGAGCAGTGCTAGAACCATCCATGGGAAAAACTCCAGCTATCCTTTCCCCCATCGTACAGACAAAGAAACTGAGGCTGGGTAGGAAGCTGGAAGTATAACCCAAGTCCCCAGGCAAAGCAGAAGCAGGACTAGAGATCAACCCTCCCTGTTCCTGACTCCCAATTTCCTTGGCCTGTATGTCTGGGGAGGGGCCTTCCTCAGAGAGCAGGTGACAGTGGTGAGCTGCGTAAGGGAGAATGGGGAGACCCTCACCCCAGCCTCCCTGCCTCAGACACCAGGCCCTTGGAGTGGGCCCCCATATGAGTCTAGCCACCTGGGGCAGTTTAAGTGGGAACAAGACACAGGAGTCCTCCAGGGACTTGGCTTTTGCCTGGCTAAGTTTTTCTAGGTCCCTGGAGAAAGAGGCCAGGCAGGTGAAGAGCCTCTTATGCTGACCCACTGTGTGTGCGTCTGTGTGCATGCGTGCATGTGTGTATGCACAACGGTGGTGCACAGCATGGGGGCTCCCATTAGATTTCCTCGAGCAGCCCATGTTCCCCCCACCCCCACCCCAGGCCATTTAGAACCCAAATATTTCCTCCTTTAGGGAGCCCCTCCCCTATCTAGGCCTTCGGGCTGAGCCTGAGGAGGGAGGGAAGAAGGAAATGAGAGAGAGAGAGCCACGTTTCCTTCGGGCGGGAGGGGAAGAAAGAAAAAGACGAGACAGCCCACGAAACCACTGGGAGACGGGGGGCGGGGGGGGGGGTGGGAGGGAAGGGGAGGAAGTCATCGAGCCCAAGACCCGAGATCGAGACTCAGGCAGGTCGCAAAGCGACCTGGACGCGCACAGACGGAGAGCAAGGCCCCGCCTCCCATCGGAGCGACCGTGCAGCGACCCCCGGCCCCGGCCCCTCTCCGGGGGTCTCGGGCCTGCTCCCCGGAGGGTCGGGTTTGGGTCTGGCTCTGCCCCCCCCCCCCCGCCCCCAGCAGCGTCGGCTTCTGGCTCTCTGAACGCGCCCCCGAGCGCCCCCAAGCGGAGATCCTGTCCAGGAGCAGCCGAGGCCCTAAGGGGGCGCAGGGAAGGGCGCCCCCACTTTGCCGCTGAGGTGGGTGTAGGGTGCTAGAAGCCGCGGCTGGGGAGGGAGCCAGAGCCCATCTTCCAGGGTCCGGCCGCCCCGACGCCGGGATGCCCCCTTCCCCTGGAGACCGAGACCCCCCGAGCGGCGCGCACCGGCGCCAGCTGCGCAACTCGGGTGCAGGCTCCGGGTTGGATGGGGGAGTGTCGAGGATCTGGTCCCCAAATCTCCGAGCTTCCTCACGGGTCCCTCCGGGAGACCCCGCGCCGAGCTCCCCCACTACTGCCCAAACGCCGGGTAGGCGGGTCTTTCGGGGGCCCTCAAAGAGGGGCGCCGAGCGGCGCGGCGGGGAGGGAGCCCCTTCCTCTTACCGCATTGTTGAGGAAATCCGACTCGTTCAGGTCCCCCAAGTCCAGGAAGCTGGACCCGGGGAACAGCCTGTCAGCTGGGAAGGGGTCCAGGACCGCGTCCATCGCGGCGGACTTCGGGGATCCCCTTCGGCTGGCTGGGCTTCGCTCACTCCAGGGCGGCCGCTGAGCCCAGCCCGGAGCTCCGGCCCGAACGCAGCGGGCGGGCGCGCGCGGGCGGCGGGGGGCCGGTCCCGGGCGGGCCCCGAGGGAGGGGCGGGCGGAGGCGGCGCGGCCGGGGTCGGGGGGCGCGGCCCGGGGTCGGGGGCGCGGCCGGGGGGGGGCTTAGCGCAGCGAGGCCGAGCGAGCTGAGCTCGGGGGCCCCGGGTGCACGGTGGGCATTTAGCCGACTCCTCCTCCGACTCCTCTCGGGGCGCAGCTGGCTTCCATGGGGAGCCCGGGGGTGGGGCCGAGGCTTTGAGGGGCCCCCCGGACCGGGTGGGAGCCGGGGGCGGGGGAGCTGAACGCTCCCCCGAGACTGGGTGGCTGCCCGCCGCTCCGCGCCCTCCGCGTTCCCCTCGGCACCGCTTCTGTCACTTGGCTGTCTGCAGAACTGGGAACCCCGAGCTGGGAAGCCCGGCCGGGAGGGCCACGCCCCCTCATCAATATTCACGATCTCATTAATGGAAGAAGGTGTGGCTCGGGGACCGCCCCTCCTCTTTTAAAGAGACATCAGCAACCTGCCCTTCCTTGGTTAGTCTGTTCTCAGAACTTGGTTAGTCTGTTCCCAGAACCTCTGCATCTGTTGGTGAAGGCTTCACCATTTCACCAGACTATAAGTTGATGATGATGAGGGAGCTGAGTTAGTTCCATTTTTCCAGATTTGTGCTAAATTCCTGAACTATTTAAGGGAGTCTAAAGACAGGGAGTCAATTTCTCAGGCTCCTCAACAGACCAACAGGGCATTTTTTTTTCCAGCTTCTAAAGAGTTATCTGGCATCATTCAGCTCCCAAGTTTCCTCCTCCAGAAGCCTTCCCTGAAGCTCCAGACTGTAGCAGTGAGCACACCTGCACACTTAGGGATGTGTGTGCCTTCCTCCACTGTTTCCAGACTCAGGTGCTGCAGTCCTGGTTTGTTCACACGCTGAAACCTCTAGACTGTGCCACTATTCAGGGGAGGGACTGTACCAGTCTCCCTGGGTGTGGGAAGGCTGAATGAGCAGCAGGAGATGAGATGAGAACCCCTCCTCTCAACCACCATGAACCCACGTTCCCACTTCTGGAGAGCAGGAAGTTGAAGAACAGAGTCTGGGTTGAGGGAAGATGCTGGCAGGCCTAAATCTCCAGAGTCACCCGACACTCCAGGTCCTCTGGATCCATTGCCTAATCCCACATAAAACTTAATCTTTTAAAAGGGCTGATAAACAATCAGCAAGCACCTGAATAAATGTGTGTGCTCCTGGAAGGCCTCCCTCCAGGGCTGGGCATAACATTTCCTGCCCAGAGTTATTAATAGGGCAAAGTATGTCCTCTTTGTCTGGGCAATTAGCTCAGGAACCAAAAGGCCTTTGAGAATGTCACTGCAGCTCAGCCAAAGGTATCCCTGAAATTGCTCACAGGGCCACAATATAAGAAGGGCTCACACTGATCCTTTGCTAGCCTGGGGCAAATGGGCAGGCAGGTGACTTCTCCATCCCTGAGAAAGGACCCAGTTGACTCAATTCTGGCCTGAGAAGTTGGAACAGCCCCTCCCAGGCCTCCTGCAGAGCTGAGAAAGCTTGTGGGGTTACAGCTCCTGCTCTAGGGACCCACTCACCAGCAAGACAGCTCTGAGGAATTAGGCTGAGCCCCAAAGAGATCATGACATTCAGACAAGTGTGGATAGAAATAGAGGACTAAGAGCATTTCCCCCAAATGTATCACATATGGCCAACTGGGAATGGGGCTGGAGTGATCATTCTCAGGGCTAGGAGAGTAGTCGCTGAGGGGTAGACAAACCAGTGTGTGCGATCCAGACTGCAGGTGTCTGGAGTCCTGGTCCCTGATTGGAGTCCCTGCAGGCCCCCAGGAGGAGCAAAAGTGCCCCTGCTGCCTGAAGTTGGCTGGAAATGGTGCCTGGGTCCCCCTTAGCCTGCTCTGTAATTAGAGACACAGGTACCACTTAAGTGATTGGGGAAGATTATATAGTTTTAGATAAGTAGGATTAGAGTGTCCTGTCTCTCCTTATTCTTATCCAGGCGAACACCCCAGGAAACCATTGAAAATAATCCTGGGGGGTGGGGTGTGGGGAACTCTGTGGTTTCAGCGCCTCCTATGGAGTCTGTGAATCAGGATCTACACAAAATTCTAGAGGGAAGGGGTCTTAAGTAGAAAGGGAGCAGACAGGGCAGAGCCTAGCATGAAGAAAAGGCCTGATCATTTTCATTCTGGGATGCAGGAGATAACAAAGATGCTAGGGATTTATTCATTCACACATTGCTTGGGAACCATTGAGTCCCCACTCTGCAGAGTCTAGAGGCCAGGCAGTAGAGACTTCATAATGAAGAAAATCCCAGAGTGAGTGGGAGTACAAGGTGAAAGGGGAGTGGTGATGTGTTTTTAGATGAGAATTTCAGACAAGGACCTATGAAGAAATATAGTAGTGTGGTGAGATTGTGGGGGTAAGGAAGTCCTCTCTGAGCTTAGAACGGAGTCATGAACTAGGGTCATCTATGGGGCAAATGGAGGGAAAAGCATTTCAGGAGAGGAGACCACATAGAGGAAAGGACAGGCAGCTGGAGTACTCTGCTGGGGTAACAGAATGAATGACAGACCCAAGCCAGTACTGATGGTCACACTGGGTGGGGTGTGGGAGAGGGGGGACTCTGTCCTGTGCAAGCCATGAAAAGAAATTTGCCAGTTCACACGAAAGCCCAGCCCCTTCTGAAGGTGTAGTCCACAGCACATCTTTCATCTGGGTCTTGTGCATCCTCGGTAAGCACTGAGCTAGGTACAGGGAGCTCAGCCCCCTCCTGTTAACGGTACAGGAAGACTTGCCATCTGCCCTGCAACAGCTGTCCAGCTGTGGAGCAAAAACTTTCAGCATAGAGACATCCCTACACAATTGCTGACAGTCAGTGACGCACAGGAGGAAAGGGCAGAGATAAGCTTCCTGCCTGTCCCGGATACTGAAGGTCAGGTAGAGGGAGAGGCTCCTGCCAAGCTGAGCTGAGACCAGAAAGTGTGTGTGTGTGTGTGTGTGTGTGTGTGTGTGTGTGTGTGTGTGTGTGTGTCACTAACACCTCTGGAGAATCTCTGTTCTTCAGTTTCAGCTTCCAGATCTATAAGTTGGGGCAGGTGGCAAGGCCTCTCAGGAACCCTTCCAGGATGGTGGGGGCGGAGGAGCTGGGGGAATAGGAGGCCTGGGGCCTCATGGGGATTGTTCAAGGAGGCTGTTCATAGGCAGCAGGCAAGCTCTGGGGTGGTGGCGAGAAGGTCGCCCAAAGTAAATCTGTCTTGTTTGCCTGGATTGTAAAGGAAAATCTCTTTGGCACACTCCAACAGGAACTTCTGAGAAATGAAAAGGCATTCATCCTGGAGATTAGGCTGACTTCCGGGGTGCAGATGGGGGCTCTTTGTTCTCTGTGGTTCTCTGGGTAGGCCATCCTCCCTGCTGGGGATGGACTTGGAGCCAGGAGAGTAGGGGTGCACCACAGACTCTGACTGTCACTTTAGTGTCCTCCCCTCATGGCCTGTGATTCCTTCCCCTCTCCACTTTTAGCCATAAAGACACCTGACATTTACTGAGGACTTGCTTTGTGCCAAGTACTAAATACTTTACCTGTATTATCTCTAAGTCTTACAACAAGCTTGTAAGATATCTATCAGAGTTTGCTGATTCTGAGATGCGCATTTCTTTATACATTTTGACACTCTGAAGACAGTTTTTCTTGGGGGGGGGGGGTAGCACTAAAGATTGAACCGAAGGCCGGGCACCAGTGGCTCACACCTATAATTCCCAGCTACTCAGGAAGCTGAGATCTGAGGATCATGGTACAATGCCAGCCTGGAGAAGCAAAGTCCATGAGACTCTTATCTCCAATTAACCACCAGAAAACCGGAAATGGTGCTGTGGTTCAAGTGGTAGAGTACATGCCTTGAGCTGAAGAGCTCAGGGACAGTGCCCAGGCCCAGAGTTCAAGCCCCATGACTGACAAAAAAAAAAAAAAAATTGAACCTAGGGCCTCACTTGAGATTTGAGATACTACTCTAGTTCTTTTGTAATTTTTGTTTGTTTTTAAATAGTCTTGCTAACTTTGCCCAGGTTGACCTCAATTTTTTAATTTTTTTTTCTTTTTGCTTATGTGGTGCTGGGGAATCAAACCCAGGGCCTCATGCATGCAATGTAAGCGCTCTACCACTGAGCCACCTTTCCAGCCCAACCTCAATTTTTTATTTATTTATTTATTGCTGGTCCTGGGGCTTGAACTCAGGGCCTAGGTACTGTCCCTGAGCTTCTTCTGCTCAAGGCTAGCACTCTATCACTTGAGCCACAGTGCCACTTCTGGCCTTTTCTGATTAATTTATTGGAGATGAGCGTCTCACAGACTTTTCTGCCTGAGCTTGTTTTGAACAGAGATCCTCAGATCTCAGCCTCCTAAGTAGCTAGGATTACAGGCGTGAGCCACTGGTGCCCAGCTGGCCCCAAACTTTTTTTTTTTTTTTTAATGTGGTACTGAAGAATTGAATTCTGGCCTCATGCATGTTAGGCAAGCACTGTACCACTAAGCCATATTCCCAGCCCTGGGCCTCAAACTCTTAATCCTCTTCCACCTCCAGCATAGCTGGGATTACAGGTAGGAACCATCATGCCCGGCTCAGAATGTATCTTAATAACTGAGGATGTCACAGAGCAGTAGATGGCATTTGTTCCCCTTAGTAGAAAGTAATAGCAAAGCATATCACGGCATGGTATTTTAGCTTTAGGGAAACATGTCCAGTCTGCAGATGCGAAGTGTTCCTGGGTTTTATCTTTATTTGCAGAAACCAGGGTTTGGGACAGTGGGTAGCTTGCCCTAGGCAGCCCCCTTCAGCTTCAAGAGGTAAAGATAGGACTGAAAGCGAGACTTCGAGCCTTCCAACCAAGGGCCCTTTCCACTCACCCCAGATGAACCGGGTTTGCTCACTGGGCAGGGACAAGAGCTGAGGGGAGGACCTTC